TCACTTGGTAGTCCAGGCTGGCCTCGAACTCACAGAGATCCGCCTGGCTCTGCCTCCCGAGTGCTGGGATTAAAGGCGTGCGCCACCACCGCCCGGCTTCTCTTTCCTATTTTAATAAAACTCTTGTTAGTGGATTCTGTCGTGTTTCGTGACATTTCCTCACAGGGTCAGACCGTTGTAAATAACTAATAGGGAGGATGTGGAATGTCCAGTGTTGGTGCTGGTGATGATGAAAGTTAGAGAGGCTTTCAGCCCTTCGGTTTCCGTGGTGGCTTGAAGTATTTCCATAGCCAGCTGGTGAAGATCAGTTTGCTAGTCAGCAAGTATGTACTGTGTGCCTACTACTCGCCAGGTCAAGTGGGGTTACAATGACGGGTAAGACACAGGAGCTCCCTAATCTGATAGGAAGAGGAGGGTTAGCAAAGCCTTACACATCACTGTTAAATCCTCATCTGCATCCATTAGTTCCTTCTCCTTTGGAATTGAAACTAACTAGACACGGAAAATGGCGTTCTTTCCTCTTCTGAAGCGTTAAAGATGGCAGCGGCGGCGGTGTCTGGCGACTACCACTGTGGCTCTCCTTTTTACTATTAAGCACCACATGGATCTGGGGGGGTTAACGCCACGTCCACAAAGGCACACGGCCTTTGGGCTACTCTTCCCTTTCAAGGCGGGTCATTGATCCACTGAAGAAATTATTCTTTAGCTATTGAAGGTGTAATTTCATACTGGGTGAGAGGTTTCTGCTGTCCAAAGTTGTCATTGTTTGAGAATCCAAGATGCTTGTCAGTTTTCCTGGGTTCGGTTCTGTGGGCACCAAGTCTAGAGTAGGTGCTGGATAGTTTCATGTCAGCCAGACCCAGGATGGAGTCATCTGAGAGGAGGGGACTTCAGTTGAGGAAATGCTTCCATAAGCTTGGGCCATAGGCAAGCCTCTAGGGCATTTTCTTAATTAGTGATTGATATGGGAGGGCTCAGGCCATTGTGGGTGGGGCCAATCCTGGGCTGGTGGTTCTGTTCTGGGTTCTACAAGAGAGCAGGCTGAGCAAGCCACGGAGAGCAAGCCAGAAAGCAGCACTCCTCCATGGCCTCTTCTTCAGCTCCTGCCTTCCGTTTTCTGCCCTACTTGAGTTCTGTCCTGACTTCCTTTAGTGATGAACTACAGTGTGGAAGTGTAAGCCACATAAACCCTTCCCTCCCCAGCTTGCTTTCGGTCATGGTGTTCCATCACAGCAATAGAAACCCTAGGACACGCACTGACAGAGTACTGATCACTATGCCTAGAGCATCATGTGCGTTGACTCTTTCTCCAGAGCCGCCTGGCTGGGTTGTGTTAAAGTTCCCATGGTGCAGATGGGATGATTGAGACCTAGAGAGAGACTGAACTGGGAGTGCAGCCTAAGTGTCTCTGATTTCAGTCTGACTGTCTCTGGTGAGCACTGGAAGTCTGCAGTGGTAAGCCCTTCTCATTTTCCCCATCCCCCTGAACCAAGGTAACACCCCGATTCCACAGACGAGCTAGCAGCTTTGAACAGCTCCCAGACTACAGTTCACACCCGAAGAATGTTCTCAAAATGAGCTCAGCTCCCAGGCCATGTCAGGAGCTGTTCTAGAACAATAAAGACACTCTAAAACGGCTACTTTGAGATTTGGGTCTTTCTCAACTCAGGGGATGGGGAGACGGGCCCTTGGTAAAGTACTGGCTTTACAAACACGAAGACCTGAATTTGATTTCCAGAACCCATGTTTAAAAAGAAGCCAAGCACAGCTGCATGCCTGCAGTCCAGCATCGGGGAGGTGGAGACAGGCAGATCTTAGGTGCTAGCTGGCCAGCCAGTCCGGCTGAGTCAGTGAGAGAGTGGGTCTCGAAGAAGAGGGAGAACAATTGAGGAAGACACTGATGTTGACTTTGGCCTCTACATGCAAATGCATACATGTGCACACACACCATCATAATATGAACATGTAGGCACACACAGAATGTTTGTTTTCTCTGACTCGTTGTTTATAATGACTCTGATTGGAGCAGCCAGCACCAGCACTCATGGCTCAGACCTCGGTGATTCTAACTAATATCACGGTCAGTGTAAGAGGTGAGAACCAGCCCCGCGGTGTGCTCTGCTTCCCTCCCCAGGCCTTAGAGTACCTGCTGTGGGCCAGCGTGTGCATGGAGTCCTCTGTCCCGCTCCTGTCCGTCAGGTACCTGACCTGGAGAGCCACTCTCTACACGGCCGTCTGCCAGTGCCACTACGACTGCCAGACTGGCATCCACGGCGAGGTACGTGCCCTTCAGATGGCGGCGGCGTCGGTGTTCGCTGGAAACACAGCGTATCAGACACTCTCTCCTTCCTGTGTCTCAGGAGACCAGCCAGAGGCCTGGAAAGAGGCAGAGCCAGGGGACGCCTGTCTTGTCTGAAGACGTTTTCTCGGCTGTTCTGTTTTGTGGCTTTCTCACTGCTTTGTGTTCTCTCGGTGTGTGTGTGTGTGTGTGTGTGTGTGTGTGTGTGTGTGTGTATGTGTGTGTATGTGTGTGTGTGTGTATGTGTGTGTACGTGTGTGTGTATATATATGTGTGTATGTGTATGTGTATATGTGTGTGTATGTACGTATATATGTGTGTGTATGTATGTATGTATGTGTGTGTGTATATGTGTATATATATGTGTGTAAGTGTATGTGTGTGTATATGTGTGTGTGTATGTGTGTGTGTGTATGTGTGTGTGTATGTGTGTGTATGTATGTATGTGTGTGTGTGTATGTGTGTATATGTATGTGTATATGTGTTTGTGTGTGTGTATGTGTATGTATGTATGTATGTGTGTGTATGTGTGTATGTATGTATGTATGTATGTATGTGTGTATGTATGTATGTATGTATGTGTGTGTGTGTGTATGTGTGTGTGTGTGTGTGTGTGTGTGTGTGCGCGGGCACCACAGTGCACATGTGGAGGTCAGAGGACATCCTTGGGTGTTGGGCCTTGCTTTTCGCTTTGTCTCTGGCAGGGTCTCTTGCCTGCTGTTGCTTCTTCCAGGCTGGCTGGCCCATGAGCCTCCAGGGCTTTGCCCATCTCTGTTTCCCGTATTGTCATAGCGACGCTGAGATTACAGATGTGAGCTCCTGCGTCTGGCTTTCCTTGGGTTGTGGGGACCCGAACTCAGGTCCTCGCGCTTGTGCAGTGAGCGCTGTACCCATGGAACCGTCTCCCCATCTCCCTCCCCTCTGCTGTTCTCACACGGGGGGGGGGGGGAGGGGGGCTCCTCCTTCCCTGCTCCGTTTGAGGCTCCGTATTACACTCCCTGACTTTCCGCTGCCTCCAGGCTTATTAGCTGTATCTGGTCCCCTCTTTTTTGGCACGTCTCTTAGACTGAACGTTTGACATCTAACAAGCTGGCAGGGGCTCCCATTGGTTGGCACGGGCTCTCAGTATAAATTTAAAAGCCTATCTTCCATTCTGTACACAGCACTCACTTGTCAGTGAATGTGTTTGTGTGTGTATGTGTATATGTGGGTGTGTTTCACTCTCCTGTGAAAATCAGAGAACCACACCTCTTTCTTCCGGCCAGTGCATCCTTGCCCCAGGATGCTCACACAGCCTGGTGAGAGGCCTGTTGCTCGGAGCTCAGTCCTCCCTTAGCCCCTTGGCTTGGAGCCTAGTGCAAGACACAGCTTTCACAGCTGTGCTCACACCTGCTCCTGATCTGTTCACAACCCCATAGACATAATTTAGCCACCAATCGTTTCTTACATTTGTTTTTTCCTCCCTGGATTAATTCTGAACAGTTAGGTGGTAGCAGTCCCTAGCTAGAGGAGCATCCGAACTCAAACCCTGCTAGAATATCTTCACAGCTCAGGATAATTCTAAAAGCTGCTCAGCACATACGCATGATGACCTTGAGTACTCTAGGGGAGGCAGAGTCTGCAATCGCTACTGCCGTGGTGGGGGAGGAACACTGGTCGTTCCGACGTTTTGATCCTTATTGGGATTGCCGCTTACTGGAAAATCTATACATCCCTTAATTCTAATGTTGCAACTGGCCTGGGACTTTTCGCTTTTAAAAGCTATGAGTAAAGTATTTTAAAAAAAAAGGCAAAAGCAATGACATGAAATTTTGGAAGTCCGATGTGCTGTCTGTTGTACTCTGGAGCGGCCTGTGATGCAACCTTTTGCTACTTAACTCTTCTCAAGGGCTCTTCTGAACCCTTGTTATTGTCTCTAGAGAATCATCACGTGATGAAACGGTTCCACGAGCTAGCCCGCCTTCTTCCTGCCTTTCCTTCAGGTTCTTCAGGATTTCCTCTACAGTGGCTATTGGAGATCTGAATAAGGCCCTTTAGAGACGCCACACTGTAGTGGTCAGCATGTGAGCAGTTGAAGAGATTACATCTTACGTTATGCTAAGAAGGTTGAAATTCGATAAGACCGTCTCAGGGTGGTGTATGTGTGTGCATGTGCGTGTGTGTGCTTTCCAGTGTGAGCATGCTTGTAGGCATTGTTAGCGGAGCAGTACTCTGTACAAAGGTTCTGTTTAATCCACATTTTGGCTTTCTTCTAAAAATCCTATAATTCATAAAGTTAATGTGTCAGGATGTTTATTAACTTTAGATTTATAGAGCTTAATGGTGCTCATAGGAAATGATTGATTGGAGAGCTACTGTGTTATACGGAATCAACAGCAGCCCGCAGTTTAATTCAGATTAAGTCAAATGCCTCAGACATCAAAACATACCATTTTTATACATTTTTAATCACTGTTCTCCAACTTATTGTGGATTAAATTTGTTTTAATTGCAACACAGGCATTTGCTCGACGTGCATTAGCTAAAATTGATGAGTTAAGGCAACTGGAATTAATGAGTTCCTCCCAGTGTCAGGAAGAGTCCCGAAAATATTACAGAGAGGCCACGATAAAGGTATGAAAATTTCATGACATGGAAGAAATGTACTGCACAGCGCTGTTGATGAAGCGCTCAATCTTCGTGGCTGAGGCGTGCATCCTGTGGTGATTTCATATGTGATTCTTCTCTTGGAGACAGATGGCTGTGATGATCTTCAAAAGGGGAGTGTATGAGTCTAGAAGAAAAAGCAAAGCTGTGTTTAGACCGAAGATCAGAATTAACCTAAAGGAAGCCCAGAGTGTAAGTCCCCAGGGTCTTTCTCTAGAAGTCCACTTTGCAATCTGCCTGTATGTTTTAAGCCTAGTTGCTAATGATTAAATCCTGCCCCAGATTTTAGAGCAATGGAATGTCTTTCCACCTGAGATACGGTCTCACAGCATCCATTTCTCTTTTCTGTGCCTTACATTATCCTAGTTTTGCAGCCATGATGGCTGAGAGGCGGAAGATGAGCTTGGGAAAGGTTTTCAGGCAAGCCCCTTGCAAATGGACAGTCTTGAGTGGGTCTGCACAGGCCCTTGCCTTGGGCCACTTGGCATTAGCTTTGAGGGTCTCTCATTAGGAGTGTCGTGAGCTGGGCTATACGAGAGAGCACCGAACAGCCCCCGCATCTCAGAGGATTCCAAAGTAATTTCCCGTTGGAGTTAGGAGCCAGCAGAGGGTCACCAGGGGTCCCTGCTGAGTGGCTATCCAGGAGGAGGCCTGGGAGCAGTTCTGGAGGGAAGGACAGAGAACTTAGGGGAGCCATGATGCCCAGCATGGAAGTGGTATACTTCTCCGGTATTGTAACTAGTCAGATGTCCCCTCTAACCTCAGCATTAAATACTGCCTTGGGGGAGGGAAACAGGTACTCTTTGTGGGGTTCAGCCCTTCCCTCCCACCCTGCTGTCCTCCCTCCATCCCTTCTTTCTTTTCTCTTCCCTGTCACCTTTCTGAGCTCAGGGTCCCCCGGGCTCCATTCTCCTTCCCCGAAGCTATTTCTGATCATTGTAGACGGGCACCAGCGAGCTCTCCTCTGTGAGCGCCTGTGCGGGGACTGGAAATGTAGGCAAGCGGGGGAAAGAGGATGAGCAGGCTCTGACAGAAGAGCCACAGAATCTCCGATCCTGGGAGGGAGCTTGGATGCTGCCACCTGCTGTGGTGCGTTCCAACTACACGTGGAGAAATCAGGGCTCAAGAGTGTTTCTGTCACCGGCTCGGGGTCACACGCCCCAGCAGCACGGGAAGGTGAACCCGAGTCCAGTGCCTTCTCATAGTGCCAACCCCGACTGCTCTCTCCTTAGAGCTCACGCTATTCAGGGACGACCCCCTTTCCCTTTTAAATTAATGCTATTTACAAATATTATCTTGGGCACAGGGCCAGTCCACTGTTATGGAGCATGACTATTTTGAGTATTGATCCCTGAAGAGTATCTACTCCATACCTTTAAAATCGTATCCCACACTGCTCAATGCTCTCCAGTTGCTGGGGCTGGTAGCTTGTCATACCTCAGGCAGTTTCTTGTTGAGCTGTTGGAGGTCCAACATCTGGTATCCTTAAGTTGTACCGCTGCCCCCTGTGGAGAGGGCAGGGGTGATTTGTTTTCCTCTGTGATTTCTTTTCCCTTGTGGAAACCAAATTTAGATATCTGAATCTGCAGGGCTGCCACTGAGCACCCAGTTAGGAGGTGTGGTTATTCTTTTAGCAAAATTAAAAATATCTTTAGAAAATATTTACATTTCTAGATAAAATCATATTAAAATTCAGTTATTTGGGGCTCCTTAAAAAAAATCCTGTTGCTTTTTTTAAGACAGGGTCTCACTTTGTAGCCTAGGGTGGTCTAGAATTCACTGTGTATCCCAGGCTGGCTGTTCTTTTCACCAATTAGCAGAAAACATCATTTTATTGATGATACTTCTAATTATTAAAAAGCTTATTATAGTATTTAAATATATTTTTATTTTTTTAAAATATATTTTTAAAGCACTGTTTTAACCTCTAGTACAAATCTTCAGAGGAGGCCTCACCTCTGTTGAGAGAGAGAGAGAGAGAGAGAGAGAGAGAGAGAGAGAGAGAGAGAGACATAGACTTCAACTTTTCTTGAGTTTTATGATGTACGATTGGCCTGTGGAATCAAAGACAAAGACTAATGGGTCAGGAGGCTAGTACTAGGAAAACATGGCTCAGGGCAGCTTTGTCCATTTCTGTCTCTCTTTCCAGCTTTGCCCTTAGAAGAAGAAATAAACAAGGGGATCATGGGAATGTGGCTGGCATTTTCCAGCTGGATATTAGTTCTGGAAATGCCAACTTACAGGCACCAGCCTCCCTACAGGCAGCCTACAGGCAGAGACCTGGCCGTTTGTGACAGGCAATAATTCTAAAGCAAACTCCTGCAGGTGAAGTCACTCAGTACGAAGGAGGGTGGCTGGATGTCTCAGAGGCCTACACAGCCGCTTGCTTTTGGTATATAGCCGATCAAACCTTCCATAGCAGTAACCACTAAATCCCAAGTTATTTACACCATAAAACAGTGTTTCAGATTTCAGTTTGAGGACATTCTGCATAAGAATTTCCTGCAGTATTTATCAACACGGCCTGACCTAAACCCACAGATTTTTCTGGACATTTGGCCTTGAATCTAAAAGGCATCCCCAAGGGATTTCAGGCCAACAAAGTTTGAGTCTCACCTGCCTGTGGCTGTCACCGGGGTGCCACAAGGCACGTGGAGACAATACGACCTTGATAAATGGCCACACTAAGTAGTTTTTCTATACTGCCTTGGACACACCGGCACACAAGAAACAGCGGCGTCCTTGGTGTCGTGACTTACTCAAACGGAGTCTGTAGTGGTGTAAAGGGTCCCAAAGCGACTGTCCCGCTGTCGGACTGACTGCTCCCTCCGCATCACCTGGTACCTTTGGCTTTCTTTCACGTCTAGATGGTGTGGCCACGGACGGTCACGGAACGGCTGCTGGATGAGCTGTTTGATAGCACCTCGTCCCGCTTTCTGGCTGTCCTGGAAGCTCTTTCTGACTCAAGCAGGCGGATCCTGCAGACCGGACCTCTGGTCACGGATGAAGTGGAGCTCCGCGATGTTGTCTTAGAACTCTTCATGGCTGGGAAAGAGCTCTTGATTCGTAAGTACATGTTAATATTTTGTGGTAGACACTGATAACAAACACCTTCAGCATGATGGCTCATATGTGAGAAATGAGTATCAAATGTACATATTGACCTTGAATCCAGTGACCAGTAATTCATTTGCAGGACTTTCCTTTCCCCTAAATTACTCATCATCTTTGAGTAATGAGAATTACATTTCTTTCTTTTCAGGCTTTAATCTCTTAATGTTTCCCCTTCGTTTCCTGATTTATTGCACTGACTGGAATCACCAGACACGGGCTGATGGCCGCGCTGTCCCAATCTGACCATAGATGAAAAACCTTCAACACTGTACCATTAGTTCAGACATTTACTACAGGGATTTATAGATGCTGGTTTTTGTTTGTTTGTTTGTTTGTTTGTTTGTTTGTGGGATTGTTCATACTCGTTAGCACTGTGTGTGTGTGTGTGTGTGTGTGTGTGTGTGTGTGTGTGTGTGTGTGAAGACAAGAGGCTGACTTCAGGAATCTCCCTCAATGGTGTTTTCTGTTTGTTTGTTTGAGACGGGCTTACTGGTTTTGTTAGACTGACTGGCCAGCAGGCCCGGGGGATGCTCTTCTTTCTTCTTCCTTAGCTCTGGATTACAGCGTGCCGCCATGCCTGGCGTTTTACATGGCTAAACGGAGCTCATCCTCATGACTGACTGAGCCACCTCTCCAGGCCCACTTTCCATTCTCTCAATGGTCTCTGTTACGACAGGAATTATTAATTTTATTTTTATGTTTTGTGTCTGAGTCTTTTGCCTGCATTTACGTTTGTGTACCACTGTGTGCCACAAGAGGGGGTCTGTTTCCCTGGAACCAGAATTACTGATGGTTGTAAGCCACTCTGTGGGTTCTGGGGAGAGCAGCCAATACTTTTAACCATTGCACCATCTCTCCAGACCCCAGACACTCTTAAATTTCCATGTCGTCCAGTTTGCCAACACATCCTTTATAGTTAATCCTTTTTGTGTCCTATTTAAGAAGGTTCTGCCTTCTCAATGCCCTAGTGTACTACCATGTCTTCTTCTGTAAGTTCTGTTGCTTCATTTCTTGCACAAGGTCCACATGGATGCTATTTCTGTGGGTATGAAGTAGAGATCGCCATTTGTTTATTCTTGCGGCTGTCTAGTTGACACAGCACCATTTTTGAAGACAGCTCCCTTTCCCCGTTGACTGTAATATCCTTATCATCAGCTTATGCTCATCCTGTTTCCTCACTCAGCAGTGTCCTGCGGTCAGGTGTCCAGTTGTGTGGCAGCTGTCCACTATTACTGCTGGCTGGTGTGTGGTGGCACAGACGTGCCAGTTTGTTTAACCAGTCACTCATGGAGAGACATTTTGTGTTGTCTCAGTTTGGGGCTATTAGGCATAAAACCGCTATGGACTTTTGTTTGAAAATAACGTACCACTTCTATGGTCTAATTGCTCACTCCTAGGACAACTGTATATTTAGTTTTGGGAGAGATTGCTGCCGCTGTCTCCAAGTTTACTGTGCCATTTAATATTCCAGCTTGCCGTGAGTGAATGATGCAATCTCGTGGCATCATTGACAGCATTAGGGTTCCCACTATGTCCGCCCCCTCCCCCCCCCCCAGCTGAGGACCGAACCCAGGTGTGGGGGAGTTGAATGTTAGTTAAACCTCATCGCTCTCTAGACTTTAGACTTTGTATTCTTATCTTTCTTATGTTATTCTTGTGTCTCACCACAGCTGGATCCAGCGGTGCAGGAGGCATTTTGAGCTCTTGCCTTTTTTTTTTTTTTTTTAATTTCCCATTACTTTTTCATTTCTTCTCTGTATCCACCTTTCTTTCTTCATACAAAACAAATGTCAACATTTTTACACTCATCACCAACCTCTCGTCTCTTTTTCCCCCTCCTTTTTTTTTTTTCCTTTTCGTCACTTCTGAGAGGGCTCCTCAATGTGAATTTCCATGTCACTCATTTGTGCTTTATTTTTTTCTGTCCCGGCCTTCTGTCCACCCACCCAGTTTGTAGATTCAGCACTGGCAGACTTCAGATGCAATCCCCGCTCGTTCCTTTCTCTAGGGGCCCAATTCTCACTTCATGCTTCTGAGGTCTTCTCGCTTCTGAGAGATCACTGTGCTTAAATTCTCATTCTCTCTGCTCCATTTTTCGGCTTCCTGAGGTGAAGGATGCTTACTTCGTGGGTTTTCTTTGAAAATACTTGCATATTTAATTTGCTTTCCACATGAACTTACCTTCTGTGGCCTTGCAGTAGCCAGCCAATTTTGTTTTTTTCAAGACAGGGTTTCTCTGTGTAGCCCTGGCTGTCCTGGAACTCACTCTGCAGACCAGGCTAGCCTCAAACTCATAGGGATCTGTCCACCTTTGCCTCCCAAGCACTGGGATTAAAGGTGTGCCCCACCACCACATGGAAGTAGCCAGCTGATTTGGCTCTAATGTCTACCTAGGAGGAGATATAGGAAGACAGATGTTAGCTTGAATAACTTTAGTGTGTGTGTGTGTGTGTGTGTGTGTGTGTGTGTGTGTGTGTGTGTGTGTGTCCACCTGAAGGCAGTGAGCTTCTGACTCCATACTTTAATGAAAACAACACATCATGTATTCATTAAAAAAGTTCTGAGAGAAACTGGGGAAGGGGAAACTATGATCAGAATATTTTATATGAAAAAGAATCTATTTTCAATTAAAAAAAATTCTCAAGTGATGTTATAGGGTTTCTATTGCTGTGAAGAGACACCATGACCATGATAATTCTTTTTTTTTTCAAGACAGGGTTTCTCTGTGTAGCTTTGCGCCTTTCCTGGAACTCACTTTGTAGCCCAGGCTGGCCTGGAACTCACAGAGATCTGCCTGGCTCTACCTCCCGAGTGCTGGGATTAATGGCTTGCGCCACCACCACCGGCAATAATTCTTATAAAGGAAACATTTAATTGAGGCTGGCTTATAGTTTCAGAGGTTTAGTCCATTTTCATTGTAGCGGGAAACATGGCAGCATGCAGGCAGACATAGTGCTGGAGGAGGAATTGAGAATTCTACACCTTGATTTGCAGGCAGCAGAAAGAAACTGTGTGCCACACTGGACATAGCTTGAACATATGAGACCTCAAAATCCACCCCAGAGTAGCACGCTTCCTCAACAGGGCCACACCTACTCCAGCAAGGCCACACCTCCTAACAGTGCCGCTCCCTATGGGTCAAAGCTTCAAACACAGGCGTCTATGGGGGCCATTCCCATTCAAACCACCACAAGTGAGAATTTCTTTGATCTCACTCACTCAGATTCTAAACCTTATCTCTTTGCATGAATGACGCCCAGACATTCCCCTCTCCTTTTCTAGTTTCAAATGTTAGTACACATGGAAAACTGGATTTCCCAACAACGAGTCTCCTGGAGCATGTGGTGGAAAGGAAAAACGTCATTTCTGCACTCGCTGCTGTAAAATTTGCAAAGCTGGCTTTCACTTACGAGGAATGGGGATTGTTTGAATCACTAGCTGGACAGCTTATTTACTTTCTCCAGGTAACACATGCAAAGCTCTTCATTTGTTTTCTGTTCTGTTAAAATGGCGTGGACTTGCTAATTACCTTGTGGGGTATACTTTTTCTCAGAAGCAGGATAGCGTCGAATTGAAGAAAGCAGAGAAGGATTTAATTCTTCTGGTCGCAGTAGAGCCACTGATCAATTTAAAGAAAAACAAAGGCTCGATCTTCCCTCTGGAAAATGATAAGCAGGCACAGCCCATTCAAATTTATCTAAAACATATTGCTTGTCATGGTGAGTATTTAGCTGCATTAAAAAAAAAACAACAACAATTGCTCTATGTGAGAAAAGATGGTCTTGTCAGGCGAGGTGAGACAAAGCATGGTCGAGGCTTAAAGACTAGGGGTGTGCCTGGTGACCGCGGGTTCGGCAGCAGTGACTGTGTGGCTAGGAACAGTGGAGTTTGGGAGTGTGGTAGGTCAGAAACAGCTGGGTGTCCAGCGATGCGAAGTCACCATGCACCAACTGCGGTTGACACAGGAAGGAAGTCCTATGTAGGTGTTACAGGAAGTGGGAGGTGAGCAGGGCTGCTGATCGAAGGGCTAAGGGCAAAGGGCAAAGGGGGATGGGAAATGGCTGATGCAGGGTTTTCCATGGTAGGACTTCAATGATTTAAGTGTCATTTTACAGATAATTTAGCATCTAATCTGCCTTTAGATCAGTGAGCTTTGTTTATTTTCTGTAGATGAATTGTTGAATAGTCTTATTAAATAAAAAACCCGGAGCCAGATATTGGGGTTAAAACCTGAGAGATCAGAGGAAAAGGAAAAGCCACAAGTCAACCTCACCTTACCGACCCTCAGCTTCCAAAGAGACCTCCTTCCTGTGTACCCATGCCTATCTGCTTTTGTGTTCTGCCATCTCATTTGCTCTCTCTCCAGTTACATCACTTCCTCTTCCTGTTCAGCTCTATCACTTCCTGTCTGTCTGTACAGACCTCCAGACCTCTATGGTTAACTAGTGTTGGAATTTAACGTGTGTGCCACCACACCTGGCTCTGTTTCCAGTGTGGCCTTGAACTCACAGAGATCAGATGGATCCCTGCCTCCCAAGTGACAGGATTAAAGGCGTGTGCTACCATTGCCTGACTTCTATGTTTAATGCAGTGGCTGGCTTTTTCCTCTGATCCTCAGATAAACTTTATTGGGTTGCACAAATAAAACATCACAATTTCCCATGTTCTTTTAGGCATCACATAGCTGCTCCCTCACAGTAAATCATTTGTACCCATAGTGATAGACTTTCTTCTATCAGTATCTGAATCAATACCTTTATACATTTCTCCAGTCGCCTCATTTCAGATCGTCCTAGTATTGTAAGCCTTCTCAACTTCTCTTTGGACATAGTTGGCACATGTGTTGTGGATTAATAATAAAAACATTAGTCTATTGATATTGAGCTACAGCTACTGAGATTAATTTTGACAAGAAAACATTTTAAACAGCGTACTGGCATGATGAACGGTCTGGGCATCACGTGCGCCATTTTTGTGGCACTTCTGTGTTTTGTCCTCGAGGCCTAGAAGTTGGTTTCCTGCTCTCAATGTCTGCCTTTGGTTTGCAGAGTCCTGTGTGAGGAGCTGTGGGTACTCAGAAGACATTTTTCACTTGGCGGCCATTCTTCATTACTGTGTGTGCTCCCCTTCCAAGGTGAAGTACCTCTTTGGAATAAGTTGTAGCAGTGTGGGAGGAAATACCTTTTAGCAGTCTGGCCTAGCTTGAAAACATGACGAGATCTGCTCCCAAAGTTCTTAATTATTTGCTCATTAGAGAACACATCGTTGCGTCGGTTGCTGGCTTGGAGCCTTTCGTCCCTTTTTATTGTCATGGGTGTCAATCTGCCCCTTTAGGGAGAAGTCCTAGGCTAGCTGTAATTCATCCAAAGATGGGGGAACCCGGGAGGTGGTTCTGAGGGAGAGCGAGTATGTTTAGTGCATTATGGCCATGGTGCTTATCATCAGCCCATGGTGACAATGCCTGCTTAGTGTCACTTCTCACACAGTGCCCAGATTTTAGAAATGGCCCATGTGCTGGTGCTTGGGTAAAACCAGTGTCTCAGGTCTGCCCCAACTCCCATTTTTGGATTTGGAAAGAGGGACTTACTGTGTATCTCAGGTTCCTGTGAATTCATGATCTTGGTAAGTGAGATATGATATCTCTCTCTCTCTCTCTCTCTCTCTCTCTCTCTCTCTCTCTCTCTCTCCCCCCTTCTCCTTTCCCTTCCCTTCACCTTCCCTCCTCCTATCCCCCAGGGGCAGGGAGGGATTGACCCTAGGGTCTGACTTGACAAGTGCTCTGCCTCTGAGCTGCATCATCCCTGGTCTTCTAGCACTACTTTTAAATTTGGATCCCAGGGTCCCTAAGGTGTGTCTGAGCTTCCCTGGAAGGCAGTTTTGAGCAGTGGTACCCTAAATCTGTTTTCGTTGCTTTTGTATATAATAGTGGAATTCTCATGACATTGTATTTGAAATTTAGGTTTATGATTATGAAGAGCAGACATTGTAATGATAAAGTTTTGCATTACTGTTTACCCAGGTAGATGAAACAATAGGGGATTAAATATGCTCTGTTCTTACAGTATTTCTATTTCTTCTGAATTTATTAGAGTTTCTTGGAATCTGTAGTAGATTTTCTCTCTCTCTCTCAGTGCTTGGGATAGAACACAGGGCTGCATGTAGCGAGGCAAGTATTCTATCCCAGAGCTAGCTCCCCGGACCACCTTTGACTTTGGATTTTGAGACAGAATGTCATTAAGTTGCCCAGGCTGGCCTTGGAGTTGAGGTCCTCTGTCTGTCCCAGCCTCATGAGTAGGAACGTGACTAGTGACTAAGGCTGGGATTATATCAACCTTCATCAACCGACCCGGCAGGGTATTTAATTTTTTTTTTTTTTTTTTTTTTTTTTTTTTTTT